ATATGAGCTGGCAATCCCAGGCAAGATGTCTTGGGTTGCTGCATCCAAAGTCTCAAGGGCAAGGCATAGGTTTTGACCACGTTAATGAGCTGTCAATATGACAACTGGTGAATAATGCCAGGAGGGCTCTATAAATTCATTTTGAAGCACAATAATCATGCCATATATATAGAACTTCCAGTAGAATTGTTCTAGACTTCAGATCTATTCCAGAACGGACCAACCGGATGGTCTACACAGTTCAGGACCAATTTCAGCCATAGACCTGGTCTAGAAACTGAACCGAATAAGTGGTAACATGTCTGTATTTGGCAACTCTGAACCAGGTAGAATGTTAGAATATTCCAGAAATCAGAACTCAAACATTCTAGAGGCGGATCAGCGGATCAGGTCACGGTGTCACACTTTACATAATTATTTCTAGAGTAGCATATAAGAAGAACAAGGGATCAAATCCCCATCAGACCTGTCGATTGTGGTTTGTTGAAGTTTAGATATCATTTCAAGTGCAAGTGCTAAGTGCAAAGTGCAAGGTGCAAGTTCAAGTTAAGTGCAAAGTGCAAGTTCTAAGTGCAAAGTGCAGTGCAAGTGCAAGTGCTAGGAGAGTAGAACCATATTGCTCCTCTCAAATCTAAACTTCGTACCAATTAACTGCTATTTCTGTTCACCATAAGTAAAAACATTAATACAAGTTGACACAACATCTTAAAAACTACTGATATCAATCAGAACATCTGAATCTGTTAGCCGTTTCCTGCGGCTCGAACCCCGAACACAAACCGCACAAAATTAGGATTTGAATAGTTAGGTTGAAGGTCCTAGTGATCTCCTTCATTGCTCATTTTGCTACGTGTATTGAGTGATCGTCACAGGCTGCATGGCCCATGACGGGCCATGAGGACGGTGAAACGCCAAATATAGAGCAGGGGTGAAAATGCAAAGAAATCTAGATCTCTGAGAAAAACCCAAAAACCTAAACTCTGAACACAATCAAATCCACTACCTAATCTCTTATTGATGTTTTGGCAAGTTCGGGGAGTTCAGCACAGGAAATGCTGTTGCACACCCAAATACTCTAAGTAACAATTTTGATGTGGGAGATAACAGAGATGTTTGTAGTTGTGGTAATTTCTGTAAACTTTGTTAACTTTTGTTTTCCTATCAAACCTTTGGGGAGGAGCAATATGGCTAACTCCTATTCAGTCTACAACCTATGATGTCAGTCTCTAAACCTTGTGCCAAGACTTATTGGTCAAGTCTAAACCTGGCTCACAGCCCAATTATTCCTATATCCATAATAATCAGTCACACTTTTAGAGAATTCTCACTTTCAGAGGTTATAACTCCCAGTCCCAAGCTAGCCAGAAGCAGTGAGGGCTTCCTGTGGTCACTGTGGGGTGGTGGGGGGTGTAGATTGTCTGCCTGGAGGTGTGTACAGGCCAGTATTTATACTGTTCAACTATGTCACTCTCGTCACACTTCAACTATGTCACTCTCGTCACACTTCTCCATTGTTCTTGGTCTAGATGGGCCCAGATCGACTGTGCCCCCAGTCAAGCGCAGCCAGACAATGCGATAAGGCCTCCATTGTTCTCTCCCATTGTTCTCTGCCCATTGTTCTCCCTATATGGAATTGCCATTTGTGGCTAGTTGAACTTTGCTTGAGTTCTGAATAATCTTGAGATTGAAAACTTTATCCTTATGGCTGAACACTTTTGATCATTGAGTCGTGGTGTATGGCCCCTGCCACTATGTCCTGGAGTATCTGTTTGAATCTGCAAAAGTTGTATTTTGGGCAAATTTGAAGAATTTCATGAGTGGCCAATTTCATTGTCCTTTAACGGGCCTCCACAGGAACGGGTGCGGGCCTGGTGCCCCAAACCCGCTGGCCCCCATCCTGGCCCACTGGGCCCGGCTAACCTGATGCCTGGCTCCAGCCCAGCTCCGACGCCTCGAAACCGTCGGTGACTTGGCCCTGATGGCCACATCGCCTGTTGCTCGGGGTTCCACACCCACGACAGCCAAGCCACAGCCATCTCCTGAAGAGATGGTGGTCTCAGCCTGGCTGCCACAGTCTACAGCCCTGTGAAAAGCGGGCCACCTGCGGCCCGTTCGCTCAAATGCGGGTACCCGCACCCGCTGAGGCGGGCCCGGGCCATTGGCGGGAATGGGTGCAGGCCACCCCCGGATTTACCCGCAGGGGCCCATGAAGAACACTATGTGTATTAGCATATAGGAATGCACAGTCATGTTTCTGGTCCCTGTTGAAGGTGAACAGGGGGGTTTGGTCGCAAGACCGATTTTTGGGTGAGGAAGGTTCAATTGCCAAATTTTGTGTGTGTCCTCTTACCCAAATAGGAAATTCAGCGCGCCGGAGGTGCAAAAATATTGAGATTTCTCCAAATCGGGATGGTTTGGGACCAAAAGAATTGGCTGTGACCTGTGACCGGCTGAAATATTTCAGCCAAAAAAATCTGATGTGACCGTGACCTGCAGAATTGATTGAAATAGGTCGGTAGCAGTGACAGTGGCAGCAGAGGCCTGGTTGGTGAGAAAAGCAAGGGCCTCAGTTAGGCTATCAATTTTTAAGTTGAAATGAGTGAAATACTACAGTTTATCCATCCCTATCTTGTGTTATCTCCTAAAATATTACAAACGTAGTCTAGGATCCTGAATTCTCAGACCCACCAAAAACCCCAAAACTTTTTGCTGTGCCTCTAAAAAGGTTTTTCTTTACTACAAGGGGGGGGAGGGGGTTACAAAAAACTTTTTGTATCTGAAAGATTTGAGCCTTATATGGGTGTAAAGACACTGAATGGAGTGTATACACTCCAATTTCTATAGTTCACTACTCTCATACTTATATCTATACACTTTCAGGCCTATGAGCTTGGAAATCCCACCCTGTCATAGGCCCATCATCAGGTAATTGATGAAAGGTGAACATATTGAAGAGTTAATATGGACCTGCCATGTGTGTTTGCTTGCAGCTTCACCACCCCCATCTACTCTATTGATTTTGCTTTTTCTGATGGTGACCTGCCACTGACCGCAGTCTTATCTTGTATTCACGACTCGGAGGCTGCCCATGAACATCAAAGGAACAGGATCAGCAGTGGATGGATGGATGTCCGTATGCCACTGGCAGTGTGTGATGCCGCTGGTTGCTGATTTGAGTCAGATAAGGAAGGCGGTAGCTCTTTGGGTAAGAAACACTTCAGGAGGGATCTTATCGGATAGTTGCAATCATTGCTGATGAGTTAGAGACTGATGGATTGTCTGCTTATCATCCTTTGTTCAGTCGGTTCTTCAAGCTATTATCAGCAGACGGCTTTCATGCATATCCGTACAACTTGAACGCTTGTCAAATTTTACGGAATCATTACTGCCCAAGAGATTTTACTAAGTTTGAGCGTCGCCCTTTGGTCTCGGTCTATTTCTCCGTAACGCCGTCGCCAACGCCGCCTCATCATATCAACGGATTTTTAGAGTTTTTTCGAAGCACGGAGCAGTCCCGCGTTTGTTTTTAGCGCAACGGCAGATGCCCGACGGCCCAACGCTATGTGCCCATGTGGTGCGCAGGGATTGCGGCGTGGATTGGCGCCGAAGCGTGGAGGTCCGCTGGCGTGGCACCGTTGCAACCTTTGTGATGACTAGAGTCGGATACCCATTGAACGTCCCATCATGCAGTTAATCCGACTCGGATGCCGACGAGTCGAATCATGATGAGTCTAGATAGTCAAGAGGTCCACAGTGCTCCTAAATAGTCCTGGCAGCGCCGAGTGAATTTGCTATATGGACATGGTCGGTTGGGCCATCCACTGTCAGCGACCCTCGAGACACAAAATGACGATTCTCTTGTTGATTTGGCGGTAGAAGCAGTAGAAGCATGTGGAGTGGCAGGCGTCACGGAGAGGTCGATCGTGTTTGTTGCAAGCGCTTGATGTAAAAGGAGTATTTAAGGCCACCGTACCGCAGTATGCCCTGTTTGCCCTGTTTTGCCCACTCCGGCCCATTCTCCGCACTAGCTTTAGCCAGTCATGCACCCATATTGGGTCCCAGAGACACATTCCACGACTCCGAGCTGGTGTTGGCAATATTGGCAACCTTCATCGCCCATTTATTCTCCATCGCTGCCTCCTGCGCCGCGTCCGAACGGCAACATTCCGCTCCCCGTGAACGTCTACACACACGCGGCCCTCATCTCCTCCTGCGACACGCTCGGGCTCAAAAATTGATTTCTCCCTCTCCCAGCACGAGTTCAAGCGCAGTATCGGACGCCTCGGGCCTGACGTGCTGGGTGAACCGGCTTGTCTGCCGCCAAGGGAGTCGATGACGCTTAGCTTCGCGACGCGCGACTTGGAGTACAAGATGAACGAAGAAGTCAGAGCGCCTTCGGGGTGTGCAGTGACCGTCGCTGATTTGCTGTGGGGGGTGTACTCGATACTGCAAGAGCCTGCTAGCTGTGACGGCGTCAGCGACCAAGATCCTTGGGTGCATGCCAAGTGGGGCCGGAGGGAAAATGGTGGGAGAGGATTTGGCAAGCTGCGGAAAGCGGATCGGTTGTGCGGACACTGTGTGCTGGTGGGCTTCGACGTCTTGCCAAACGAGCATGAGTGGCAGGTAAAACTGGCGGCTCCACAGAAGTTCCAGTGACGACGGACACCAGCCTCAACTTAAAGGCCAACTAAAAGAAAACGAAGTCTTTTCACAAGACTCTGCATGTACAGATGTGGTCAATATATGTATGTGCCAGGAAAATGTTTTTTTCGTCCTCACCGTCGTCGATAACTCCCTAGTAGCATTTGTTATGCTCGACTGGTGACAGCCAAGTCCCAATGATGAGCCGCTGAAGTGCTGGACTCGGAGGATATCCATCTCAGAAAGCTGCGTGCTACTCGTTCAATAGCCGGTGCCAGTGGTCCAGACGCGGTCCATCGTGATTTGATGATCGATCGGCCCCTCCACGTGCACATGACTCAGCAGCACATGGCCTGACATCAACCACCATCTTCAATTTTGTCGTCACCTCTCTCCTTTCATGGCGAACAGTCACGGCGGCGGATGAACGTTGCAGGTGCTATGATGCTATGGCAACCCTTCTCGGGCTGCTCTTGTTGCCATCATCGGCGAAGCAAACGCTCGGCGGATTCCCGGAGGTGTCCCCGTTCGTGCAATGCGGGGTTCAAGGTTTCACACGGTGTCGGTGGGTTTGGAAGTGCGCTCCTCGGCGGAAACAGCTCAGTATGTGTCCATATCCTATCAAGTGCAGATTACTGAATGCCGCAGCTCGCTGCTATGGATTGCGTCTTGCGCGCCGGCGCATTCGAAGCGTCTCGTGCGTGATGTGTATTCTAATTCTCCTTGTCGATATGATAATCACCTCTCTAGGACTTCTGTGCCGCGGCTGGACGGAAGACTGTATGGACGGACAGCTCCAAATTTAATTGTCGTCGACAGATTTATAGGATGCCTCGGTGGATGTGAAGGCCACCCCACGATGACCCGCAGTCAACTGGTTGCAGCCGCAGCCCTCCTGGGCCTGGTAAGCGCCCTCTAGCCTGCCTATCGAGCTCGAGCTGACTGACGCCGTGGTGCAGGCCAACCACGCATACTTCCGGCGGTATGAGCCACAAACTGCGCACTACCCTCTCGCGGCGCTTCTCCTCCAGCCAATCGCACTCATGCTCACTCTTCCCGACGCAAGCCTCACGCTCCCGAACGCCCTGATTGCGAGCATCAGCTTCCTTGGAACGCTCTCGGCCTCCATCGTGGCCTACCGGCTGTCGCCCTTCCACCCCCTCGCACACGTACCAGGCCCGCTACTCGCGAAGATCAGCAAGCTTTGGGGCGTCAACGCTGTCCTCAGCAGTCGGCGACACCTCATCTTGAAGCGTCTGCATGACGAGTACGGCGACATCGTGCGAATCGGTGTGTGTCGTGTCTGGCTTCGATCTTTGATACTGATGCAGGCTGTCCAGGCCCCAACGAAGTCTCCGTCATCCACGCTGACGGGATCCGCGCCGTTCTCGGAAGCAGCGGCTTTCCCAAGGGCCAATGTGAGTTCAATTCGAGTTGTTGAAAATATTATACAAGATGCAACAGACTACGAACCATGGACGGACCCGACGCTTCCCGCGCGCAACCTGCTTACGCTGCGCGGGGATGCCCACGCCAACCGCCGGCGAATCTGGAACCGGGCGATGAGTACAGCGTCGATGAAGGACTTCGAGGCAATCTTAGCGAACCGTATCACGCAGCTGCTGGGTCGACTGGATGAGTTTGCGGAGCAGGAGGAGCCTTTCGATATTGCGGCGTGGTTCAGCTATCTGACGTTCGTTCTCCCAACTTTCGATGACTACCTTTGACGGCCCTTAGGGTTGACTTCATGGGTGATATGGCGTGCGTGTGCCACATCATCTGCGCCACTGATGCTGATGGTATATAGATTTGGAGGCGGCTTCGAGTTGCTGCGCGACGGGCGGGACAGCGAGGGCATATTTTCAATTCTCAAGGTTGGCGTCAAGTAAGCAGGTTTTTTCGTTAGTTGCAGGGCTCTGAGATGGAACCAGAGCGATGTCGATTCTCTCGCAGGTGCCCTGGCTAACGCCGTCGCTTGCTCTTCTTCCAGGCTCGAAGAATGCTACGAAGAAGATTCACGCGTTCACGCTGAGCAGGGCGAAGGAGCGCGTCCGGGCAGGTCCGCAGGGACATAAGGACTTGTGGTACCATTTGGTAAGCACATGCATGTCGACACTAAAAACCTAGCTAATGAATCAAGATGGATGAAGACGGCCATGAGAAGACGAAGCCGTCCATGCCAGAAGTCCTCATTGACGGTGGCCTCACAATTGTCGCGGGATCGGACACGTCTTCGATGGCCCTCAACGCGTACGCGGCCATTATTATCATATCTTACCCGTTTTCACCTTGTCAGATTCATGTGGTGCATCCTCGCGCACCCAGACATCTATGCCCGCGCACAGGCGGAAGTTGACGCTGTCTACCCGGAAGGTGAGGGCATGTTGAGCTCAGACCGGCACGCCGAGCTCCCATTCCTCAACGCCTGCTTGTAAGCCGCCATTTTCTGTTCTAAGTTTCCGTCCTAAGTTTCCGTGACCGCATCTTTTTTGCAGCCAAGAAGCCCTCCGACTCTACCCGCCGGTGCCGAGCGGCGGAGGCCGTCGCGTCCCTGCGGGTGACGCCCGGCTTGTCGGGGACACGCTGATACCCGACGGCACACAGGTCTTCCTCCCGCACTATGTAATCCACCGCAGCGCCGCAAACTTCGCGCCGGCGCCTGACTCGTTTGACCCCGACCGGTGGCTTCGCGCCGAGCACGCGGGGCACGTGCACAACGCGGCCGCCTTCATCCCGTTCTCGTATGGCGCGGCGAACTGCGCAGCGAAGCACCTCGCCTGGCGCGAACTCCTCATGACCGCGAGCGCAGTGCTCAGACGATACGACGTCCGCTTCGCGCAAGGGGGACGGTTGCCGCCCGGAGGAAGGGGTTAAGTGGGCGGATACGATCGGCGATTTTTATGTGACGCAAGTTGGGAAGCTGGTGGTACAGGTTTCGCGTCGATAAGTACAAATATGTACATGTAGCGAATATCTTGGCAGGAAAATGTAGCCAATATTCTTCACCTGGAAATGGAAAGGATTTGGCCACCTTTGTTCTTGGCCAAATTGGTGAAACCCAATTGCTTTTTCTGGACTTTCCTTTCACCAAAAAAAACCAATTGTTTTTGGTTGCAGAAAACCCATTCAGAAACTATTAGTTTCCTTTTTTTTGCTTTGCTTTTGAGTCAGAAATACATTCAGAAACTAGCAATTTCATAAAAGGTTTTCTTAGGTTAGAAACCTAAGCTATTACACGAAATAAAACCTTTGATTTCTGATCTGCAAAAGCCCCTTCCAAAAACAGTAATTTCCTCCCTCGGAAAATCTATTCAAAATGTAACTAACTTTCCCTTTGTGGAAACCATTTATTTTCAGTAAAAAAGGGATTTATACAAAAACTCGTATTTTAAAATCAACTTTCGCGAGTCAAATTCACAGTAAACTCGAGAGTGATATGGGATGAACAGTAACATAAAGAGATGATCTAAGTACAATGTCATTCCCTCTTGTAGGCATGAAGAGAGGTAGTGATATATAAATGCTACCTATAAAATACATTAATATCATTTTTAGAAGCATAACTATATTTTACCTATGATAATATTGTGGAATATTCTATGATGATATTTTATCTGTTTGCATAAATTCTGGGACTTTCTATCTCTGTTCCCACCACATATATTTAAGAATATCATCTAATTTTAAGCCTATAGTAGCTAGTAGCTCATTAATCCTGTTTAACACAGACCTTCTAGTGATATTCTGATCAGATGAGTAAGTATGATTTGTAAGGGCAACCCTGGAGGCCCAAAATCAGGGTCCTAGCAGGGGAGGATTTAAAGAGTGAATAATGGTAGGCAGATACAAAGGAAGCTGACGTAGCAAGGGAGGGTCCAAAGAGAAGAAACTCTAAGGGTCCACCTGCTAGGTAGCTGACTATATACTGTGCCCTTGACATGCCAAGTATGATTATTGTCCCGAGCAGTATGCCTGCACCATGTCATAAGCCAGGTCCCAGGGGGATCTCCAGGGTGGCAATGTGCCTGATGGAGGTTGTGATGTGATCACTGGAAATGGAATCGGGCTGAAGACGTCTCTGAGGGTCTAAGGGGGAGGTTCCCCTGACATGATTACTCAAATGAAGTTATCATTAGCAACTCCTTCCCGATGTGGTGCCCTTCCCTGGCTGGTGGCGGCTTGCTGATACAATGATGAATGTGACTACGTTACATGATGCACTGATGATCTAGTGATTCCCCATCACAGGTGACCCTTTTTAAAATGGCAATGTCCTCGTCATCTGCGTGCCCTTGAGGTCCTTTAACTCCTTCTCTAACTCCCCCACCCTCTTCCTTTCAGCTTCCTCTTCCTTGACCCTCCTCTGCTCGGCTCTCTTGCCTTCCCTGTTTCTCTCTACCCTCTCCTTCCTGTTGTCCCTTTGCTACATTTTGTTTTCATACATTCTCGATCAATGCATTTTGTTCCGCTTCCAGTTTTGTCCCTTTTCTTGTTGCAAACCTCCTAAGGTGTCATAAGCTGTAATAACCTGTTACCTGTGTTCCATCTAGCCCTTCTAATTCATAGGAATTGACCCTTCTTGTCCTGATTCTGTATGGCTTGCTCCACGGTCCCTGAATTTTTTGATCTGCGCTCAGTATCTTCATCCTTGCTGTGTCGTAGACCTGTACCAGCTCTCCCTCCTCAAAGACCACTTCACCTTCCTTCGACTCCTTGACCTTTTTGTCAAATAGCGCTTTGCGCGCATTTACATAGACTAACCGGTTTTGTATGCATTGGTCCTCTGCTGCTCCGCGTAATTCATGTGGACCTGTACATCCTTTTCGGTCATCTCCATTTCTGCTAACTGAAACGGGGTCCTAGGGGTGTTGACCGCTTGCGCAAAGATAATTTCCTTGGGAGAGAATCTAACCGCTGGTAGTATGCGTGTATTTAGAATGTAAAGTGCTTGCCTGAAGTGTTTCGGCCAAGTGGCCGGTAAGTTCTCCGCCTTTGATACCTTCCATCCATCCTCTCCCAGGTTCGGTACGCAGAGTCTTGCTAGGATGTAAACCAAAAGCTCATTTGTTCCTTCAATCAGACTGTTAACCCATGGCAAGTATTTGGCCACAGCTATGAACTCTGTCACCCACTTATTGCAAGTGGCTTTCATGGCCTTGTTGACAAAGTGTATTCCGTTGTTGACCATCAGTGCTTCTGCTGGCAGGTAATCTCTGAAAAGGTTGTCCAACACCTCCACCATTGTACCTCCCGTTCTCGCTCCCCTTGTACAGTTCGCCCCAGACATATTGTGACGCGACGTCAATGTAGAGGCCCGTCGTCTTGTATCCTCCGTGCTGAGCGGCAAAGTCATGTAATCGGCAGCTATTAGTTCGAATGGATGCCTTCTGGTTATTGGCTTGAGTAGTGAATGTAAGCCGCTTGCCCTGAAGTTCTTGCATTGCCCGCATTCGGTTATTGCTGCGATGATGGAGTTGTCCAGCTTCGGGCTGTGGAATTTGTCCATCAGTGTTATTTTAATATGGTCTCAATGAAAATGGCCCCCTTCCACGTGCACTTGCGCTGCTTTTTGCTTCGCTTCAGCCTTGGTGATGTATTCTCTTCTTGCCCGCGCTCTCCCCCCTTTGGCACTCCCTAGCCTCCAAAGTTTACCCTCCTCGATGAAATACTGTGATGTGCGATGTCTTGCCCTTTTTCGCTCTCTTTCCATTGTCCCAAAGTCCAACTCGGTTAGCATGTCAATAACCTCAAGGCATATCGGTTCTTTGGCAAATCTGTCTCGCAATTCCGCTGTCCCTTCGGGTACTAGCATGACTAGGTAGCTTGTGTCCTCCACCATTACCGTAAATATGTTGTTTACGATGCTCAACCTTGCCTGCCAATCCGGGTTCACTGTCCACTTGCTGCCATCTCCTTCCTTCTTTGGCTCCCCTTCTCCCGCCTTAGATAATGTGTCAGCAACCACATTGTTTTTACCTTTTATGTATTCTGCTCCTACGATCTTATACCCCATAATCCCGTCTCGCCATCTGGTATGCGTCACATTCAGTTTTTCATTCCTTGTGATGTCCCTTAATGCTTCACACCGGATTTGGTAAAATATCCCTTGAAGTAGAAACTGTGCTAGATTCTGGTAGAATCTAGAACCAAATCAACCTATGGAGATTTGCCCAAAATATACATTTTTGAAACTGAGAATGATTTTAGTCAAATATATACTAGTTTTAGGCAGTCTGAGATGAAAACTATCTATGGGACTGAAACTATGCCTGAAATGGTTGATATCTGTGCACATATATTTGGTCATGATATCACGCATATCAAATGTGGCGAAACTGACAGTGAAACAAAGGATTTCACTGACAGTTTCAGCACAGATGATACAAAGGAAATCAGCAGTGGAGAAATGCACATAGATTCTCTTTGTTTCTATTTACATTTCTCCACTGCTGAAACTGTAGATTTACAGTACAATGAAATCATTGTTGAAATCTCAAATTTATTCATGCCAGAAATTGTGATTAAAACTGTCAGTATATACATTGGAGAAATTGTAAGAGATATTGTATGTATATCAGTGACTTGAGGGTCAACCCTCAAGTTAACCCTCAAGTCAACCCCAAGGGTCTGATCTCCGGGTAGACCCTACAAGTTCAGTCTCCAGCTACATATTTAAATACATAATTAGCATGAATGGGATAACAACTTTGTAATGACTTTACACAAACTTTCTAATGACTTTACATAAACTTTCTAATAAATGTTACCAGATTGTAGGGACCCTTAATACATGTTACTATTCAGTTTAGACCTATGCTTCAAGGTCAATGGTTGAGTCAGAAAATGCAAATTACTGACCCAACCCTGAGTTTTCAAAACAGTGGTAGGGTCATATCTTAATGAGTTCTTATCCGTTCCTAACATGTTATATATGAGCAGGAAGGTATTCAATTGGCCTATAAACTGGTATTCAACATAAAGTTCATTGTATACAAAACCACAGACTTTATTACAAAATATATTTTGACTATTAGATTGTTAACCCAATTACTTGATGGTTTCTAGGCTGTTCATCAAAAGTTGGATATGGTCAGAAAGGTATTTCCAAATTCTACAAACTTGATTTCAACCCTGATATGGTTGATTACAAAACCACAGACTTTCACTACAAGTCAAGGTTTATTGAATTGACTTCAAAATCCAAAGTCAACCAAATGACTCCATATTGCACATAGTAGTAGAGCTTCATTGATTGAGTAAGTGTTCAGTTCAAACCTATTCAAAATTTATAATAGTTGACTCACAAAAGGTGAAATACTCCCAAAATATTAGCTTTGTTAGTTTAGGGCTAGCCTGGCTCAAATAGTATTAACACTATATTGTTGTGAATTTCCCCCTCCTGTTCACTGCTTACCACTTGTATGATAGAGCACAGGTACAGGTCTGGGTCTGTTTAACTTGACTCAGACCCTGACCCTGACCCTGACCTTGACCCTGACTGTCAGGGTTCAGGTCGGGCTATGCCAGGCTTCTCTTGAGAAACATGTGCCCAGAACAGAACAGATGAATTGTCGGGCCATAAGTATGGTGGGCGGGTTCAAGTCGAACCAAAAGGGCCCATTAAAGTCAGTGTTGGGTCTGACACATCTTTCTTGGTCACGTGCTTTCTATGTGTGCATTCCCCCCTATTAGGGTGTCTGTTCCTATCATTACATACTGTGTGTTGCGGACCTTCGGTGGCCTGATACCAGTGCTGGAGAGGACAGGCCTTACACTTTGAACTTGAATGCGCGTTCATAGGGTTGAGCACAGGTCCGGGTCTCAGAAGGCTGACCCTGACCCTGAGTTGTGAAGTTTTATCATTTCCGCTGTCA